GGGGGGGTTTGGGGGGGGGGGGGGACATTCGGATTGCAGGCTCCTGACTAGCTGATCCTCTCCCCTCCTCCCGCCACGCGGCTTGTTTGGGGACCCCGAGCTGCGAAGACCAGATCCTGTCCCAGTGGGGCAGAGGAAAGAGCCCTGCGGTGCTGATGACTCGACTGCTCAGCATGGAGGCTTGCAAAACGTGCAGTGAGCCTCGTTGCTCCTGTTCGGATTACTGCGCTCAGACATTTTCCTTGGGCAACCCAGCTCGGTGATGGGTTTTTTTTCCAGGGAAGGGGAAGGTTGGGGCTAACTTCTGCCTGCGGCTGGAGAGGGGAAGTGAAATCCATGTCCAAATTGGGAATCGGGTTGGCCTGGCTCTTGGGATTGCTCCCTGGCTCAGGGCATTGGAGGTGGCTGGGTGGTTTAGGCATGCAAATGAAAGGAAAGTTACTCCAAGCCTTGCATTGTATAGGGCAGCAGACTGCTAGGAGCCAGAGCTCACTTTCCCTTTAACAGGCTGTGAGTACTCATCTTCCTCTTGCTACCCCTTTGTCTGGAGCAGGACCGAGCACACACAGGAGCTGCAACAGTACTGGGCTCTTGAACGTGGTGCTTGGACTGGCCTTATGAAACCAGGGGATGATCAAGCACAGCACACTGCAGGCAGTAACGCAGCAAGGGCTTGTCATGAGAAGCCGGGGGTGGGGATGGTGGTGCACATCTGCTAACTACTGAGCCTGTGCTAGGTGAAATTCCCTACTTTGCCTTTGCTTGTAAAGCCCTTTGGCGGGCTCAGTTTCAAAAGCCTTGGGAGGCATTCTGGTTACAGCCCCAGCAACTTGCACTTTGGTCTGGCAAGGCATTAGGCTCAGCCAGTCAACAGCCTGGCTTCCAGTGACAGAACAAGAAGTGTTACTGTGGCACTCTGCGGGGGAAGGAAATATAGCTACGCAAACATGACAGTGCAAGGGAAAAAATAAATGTTTGTGGTGACATTAGTTTGCCAATTTTTCTGCCATTGCAAAAAACAAACTCCAACCAAACAATGTGTTTTGGGTCAGTTATGTAGCTATTTCCTTTGATCAGTGAGGAATGGAGCCAGTGCTGTTAGCTATGGCTGAGTCACATGCGTCCTATGTTCTCTAGAGGCAGGCATTTTATAAATTTCCACTGCTTGCTTATTACGTGGCATCACTTTCTGTAATGTGTTTTCAAAACCTTGTGGGGATAAAAACCTTTGCTTTTAGCTCTAAATATGCACAAACTTGTATGAATGATTTGCCTCCTACTTAAGGTGACCCTTTGGAAAAGCTTGTGGTTGTAAAGAGCTTCTAGAAAAGTGCATCTTGCAAAGCAAAAGCTTCTTGAAACAGAACATGGGCACAGAGCCACATGTGAAGTAGAGTCAATCAACTACTGACTTCACCAGACAATAGATGTATGCCCTAGTTTTCATGCTGTGCTCACATGCTTGATTCTTTATAAAGCTCAGGGATAGTGCCATAAATTATTGGCTAACTCCTTGGGTTGAATTATCCCTAGAATGTATATCTTACAGTTGATGAAATATTTCTGTTGGCCCTTGATCCAAACATGATGTATCGCTTCCTGTCTAAGTCTTATCTTGCTGAGGACTTGCCACATGTAGAGATGCTTTAGTTTAGAGCAACAGTTCCAAACTTAAGTAGTTCACATGCCACCTTCTTAAAAAATTGGTTGTGACCTACAAGGGTGGAATAAAGCACAGGATGGGAACCCTGCTTTAGAGGACAAATCTGGACTCTAGCCTCTTTGTTCACTGGGCCATACAGGTAGGGACAATACCTAGGAAAACTGTCAAACTTATTAATGTGTACAGTACTGCATAGAGGCACTGCTGAGGGGCCTTTCATGCTAGACCATGTGAACTAAAGGGACCACCTGCCTAGTTTAGCTTACACTTCAGAATTATTTATTGAATGTCATAACTGTATCTGAGGAGCAGGTGTGATTCTGGCTGCTGGGAGATGTGACAGAAAGATGAAGTGATTCATCTTCCCTGTGTATCTTGACATACTCTGAAACACTTAATTGATGGAGTCTGCTATTTGGAAATAAAAACCCCAGTGTCTTTCTCCCTATCTGTAGATTTCATTGGGAAAAACCTATCCCACAGACACAACACAGTAAATCCTGTTTCCCTCCACACACCTCTGGGAAGGTTGTGTTTTTTTTTTTTTTTTTTTAAACTCACACTGATCCTGACCTGATCTGGCCTGTGGAGGCCCTTTTGTGTTCCTCCCCTGCCCTAATAGGTCATTCAGGCTGTGTCTATGCTACAGCAACTACAATAGCTCAGCTGCACCAGTGCAACTGTGCCACTGTAGCACTTCTGGTGAAGACACTAAGCTGTTGGTTTAACTCCTGCCTTCATGAGCAGTGGCAGCTATGGCAGCTGGAGAAGCTCTCTCACCAAAGTAATGTTGCCTACACTTAAGTTTAGTGTACTTAGGTTGCTCAGGGGTGTGGATTATTCACACCCTCGAGTAACCTAAGGTATACTGAAATACTTTGTAGTGTAGACAGCCTGAGGTCTAGCTCTACTCTACTACTAGGCCTGATATAACCTAGGCAATTACATCACTAAATTGCTGAGAGGTCAGAAAAATCTAGGAGTGGCATAGTTAGGAACTCTTCTGTCAACCAGGCCATGACCTCTTGGGCAGGTGGATTACAGATGTGCCTTTGCCACACAGCTGTAGCATTTTTAAGTGAAGGCAAACCCCTTCATATTGGTGCAATAGAATACCCATTGCTAGACAGTGCTTTACTCTGAAAGAAATGGCTTTATTTAACTAAAAAAAACCAAAAACTTGGACTATAATGCAAAGCCTTCTGTGATGTTGTTGGAGCATGCTACTGGAGTGCTACGCCGACTATAATCATCCACCATAACACCTTATTGGGGGCAAACCATAATCCACTTCCTGAGAATATTTAATTTTATAATTATGGGTGATCCACGGGTTCTCAACCAGATTGTATGCTTCCGGCCTCTCCTGAAGGCAGCATCACCAAGTGTCTTAGCTATGTGATGACTAACTGTGTTGCTTGTGATACAGGGTCCAGGCTTATATGCACATGGAGTTCATTTCAAAGCTACTGTAATATTTCAAATGCTTAGGTGAAATTAATGTTAAATTCTCTTTTTCAGCACTTACAAAATGTCTGTTAAGGAACTTCTCATTCAAAATGTTCACAAAGAGGAGCACAGTCATGCCCACAACAAGATCACTGTTGTTGGGGTTGGTGCAGTTGGCATGGCTTGTGCAATCAGCATCCTGATGAAGGTAAGTGTCAGGGCTTAACTCTCCTTCCTCTGGGACTAAAGAAAGAGAATAGCTACATCCATTAATTTACCTGGCCACTCTTGCACCATGTAAATGCCATTTTACCTGATATGTTAGATGGAATATAGGTATTTGCTCATACCTTTGCTGTACATGAGCTCATAAATAACATTTACTATTAGAATGTTTCCCCAACAATTGCCAGCTTTCTGACTTTCTTTTATACAGAACCCCATATCTGATTTAATTAAGACCAGGGTCAGATGGAGAATAGGAAAGCATGAGGCTGCAGTGCTGTCTAGTGGCCACAGGAGAGATCACTTGCTTCTGAAGCCAGATAATGGAAGGTCTGATAAATGGGGGTTTACTGTAACTATTCCCTCTGGGCAGATAGCTAGAATAGTTGCAGAAAAAAATACCTGGATTCCAAGACTTTTTGTACTGCTAGAATTCCTAATGTTTGGTTTTAAGCAAGAGAAAACAAGAGCTATTGAATTGTTTGTTTTACTGTGTAGTGGAAGCAATTCCAATGTAGATATGAGAAATACTGGACTGAGATGTAAATGTGTGTAGTGCACTGAGTATGCAATGTAATCTCTAGAACATAGCTTCTTTCCCAGAACATACAGGAATGGAGAATGGTAGTCTGTTCTAAATCTTAACTGAATTCTCCAAATTGAATGACCAAACCATTTATTGATCATGGCATGGATGATTTTTATTGTAATATAGTCACTGATTGTTTCATAAGTGTCTTGTTCAGGTGAACATGCATTGAAACATTTGCACTCCACAGTCTAGTACCAATAGATGTAGTACAGAAAGGAAAACTACTGCAAATCTCAATACTTCCCCGCCCTCCCAAAAGCTAGCACCTTGATAGAAGTAGAATTTCCAGGTAACTAAAATGTGCCACAGAATGACAGTTTTCTGATCTAGACTAGCAATAGTTCTTTAACTACATTTAACTTATGCTGCTGCCATCTTTCTAAGGTCTGACTTGACAGATTAGTGTTGCATCTTAACATGCTGGATTTCTGAATTAACTTGCTCTTTAATTGTGCTTCTGGCTTCTTGTAGGATTTGGCTGATGAACTTGCCCTTGTTGATGTCATAGAGGACAAACTGAGGGGAGAGATGCTGGATCTTCAGCATGGCAGTCTCTTCCTTAAAACACCAAAAATTGTCTCTGGCAAAGGTTAGTGTGCTGTGACTTTTTTAAATTTAATAGTTTCTAAATGGAGACCATCACTTCTGACACAAAATTGCTCATCCCAATGTTAGACATGATCTGTAGTCCTAGTATTGAATACCAGGCATTAACCTGTTTGTTCATACAGAACAGGTGATGCTTGGTCTAGCCATGACTGCAGGGGACTACATTTGATGACCCCTTGAGGTTCCTTCCAGTTCTGATTCCATGAACAGAAGAATGGCCATGCTGCGTCAGGCCAGTGGTCTACCTAGCCCAGTATTTTGTCTTGACACTGGCCAGAACTAGCTACTTCAGAAGGAATGAACAGAACATGGAAACTTCAAGTGGTCAGTCTTCTCATGCCATCCCAGTTCTGATCTTAGGCATACCCGAAGCATAGGTTGGTGGCTCTGATCATCTCAGCTAACAGCAACTGATGGACCTATCCTCCATGAATTTATTGAAGTATAACTGGGTTCAAAAAAATCAACATCCTGTGGCAATGAGTTCCAGAAATTGATTCTGCACTGAGACACCTATTTCCTTATGTATGTTAACTTGTTTGTTTTCATTAAGTGACCCCTTAACACCTGGTCTGCCAGCATTTGACACCAGTCATGGTTTTCTAAACTTCTATCCTATCCCCTTGCCTTTAGTTGTGTCTCTAAGATGAACAGTCCTCAATTTCTCTTCTTAGGGAAGATCTTCTCTATTCCTGGTCACTGTTGCCCTTTCCTGAAAAAAAAAAGTGGTTCAGAGCTGCACAACAGCACTTAGGATGGAGTTTGCTGGCTGCTTTTGAGTGGTGAAGAGCCAGGGCAGGGGTGAGCCTGCCTTAGCCCCACTGCACCACCACCCAGGAGCCAACTGAGGAAAGCAGTGCCCACCCAGAGCCCACATCCCAAATTCGTACCTCAGCCACGAACCCTCTCCTACACCCCAAGGCCCTGCCCAAGCCCCAAGTACCCCTACATCTAAACACCTTCCCAAAGCCTGCACGTAGCAGGTATCCCAAATGCCTGCCCCAAGCTCAGTTCAGAGCCTCTCACTCCAAATCCCTTAATCCAAGACCAGAGCCTGCACCCCAATCCTCTGCCCCAGTCTGGTGAAAGTGAGGGAGGATGAGGGAGGGAGGACCAAATGATCAGGGGTGGGGCCTCAGAGAAGGGGCACAAAGGAGGTGGGGGCAAGGGTATTTGGGTTTCAGGTAGATCTTGGGTTACACTGAAATTCAAAAAGTGATCTTGTGCTTAAAAAGGTTGGAGACTCCTGCTTTAAAGGTTCTTAACATAAGTGTATCGTCTTACCCTGATCACCTTATTCTGTGGCTGGATAATCCCCACCATGACTTGTGTTCTTGTCTGCCACTCCTGTTGGCTATAAACAGCCTAGGTCAAGCCAGTTTACATTTTAAAGTAGCTACTGACTGTGGCAAGTGCTAGTGTATAGCTAACTTTTCTCAACCAAAGAATAACTCCCTCATCCATACGCAGTCTCTAGGGGTGTGTCTAGACTACAGGGTTTTGTCGACAAAAGTGGACTTTTGTGGACAAAATTATACCTGCGTCTACACTGCCACTGAGTTCTGTCAACATAATGCCGACAGAACTCAAGTTTTGTCAATGGCTGTAAACCTCATTCTATGAGGAATAACACCTTTTGTTGACAGTTCTGTTGACAGAAGGCGTAATTGCATCTACACTCATGTCGACAAAGCGGCTTGCTGTGTCGACAGAACAGGATGTAGTCTAGATGCTCTTTGTCGACAGTATCTGTCGAGACAACTTCTGCCAACAAAAGCCTGTAGTCTAGACATACCCTAGAAGAACGGAGGCACTTTTTTTTTCTAATCTTAAGACATGTCACCCACACTTATTCTAGCCAGAGAAACATACAACATCCCTACTTATGCCTCAGCTACTGTCCAGATGGGCTTCTTTCAGGGCTACCATCAGCAGCAGTGCACTCAGTGTTTCCTTTCATGGAATGTGTCTTTTTTCTTTAAAGGTAACCCGTTGAGTCTTCCCAACAGGGCTTTCTTCTCCCTCCTTCCATTGTTGGAGACTCCTGTTACAACTGACACGAGTCTGCTTCAGTAATGCTCTTGGGTGAATGAAAGCCGATGAGGGATCTGCAAGTACCACTGCATGGCAGGCAGACAGTGCTATATTCACTCTCACTTCTTGGGTGTTCTGTTTTGCTGTTCTCAGTAGCTTTTAACCAGAGACCAACAGGCCTGTCACCATCCTGCTCTATCAGCAGCAGCTTCCCATGTGCTAGAGTTGACGTGAGCAGCTTTTAGATGAACTATGGGGGTACCTTTCCTATTTTTGTTGGCCTCCCAGCATACATGTCTCACTTCCAACTGTCCATAAAGCATGGCGGTGACGAGTTGGGTACCCTCCATATGTAGGTGACCTGCTAAGCAAAGTTGTACATGATTAGTCTTGCAGCACTGGTGCAGGATCTTGTCTGTCAGCTTCTGACAGTGCATGTGAAAACATTGTAGCTACTTTGTGCCTGCTGCTGTAGTGTTTATTTAATAGCTCTAGAGGAGGGTGCTTAACACCCTCCATGCTCAGGCACTCAGGAGCAATGGTTAGGTCTCCTAGGCCTTGGGCAAGTATCCTAGGTTCAGTTGTGCTCTATAACAGCCATCCTGTATGACCCTGGACAAGGCACTTAGTCTGTCAGCTGCATCTCTCACAGGAGTGTTGAGACATTCATTTAGTCCCCATTACTATAGCATCAAACTTGTGCAGCAACAAATTGAAACTAATCTTCTCTGCACAGTAGAAGGTAATGGATTAGCAGGAGAGTGCTGTATTTGGCTAAGTGCTGTCCCGCAGCACCTGCAGACACATGAGCTCTAACTCAAGGATAGTGGAACTCCAGGCTTGTTCTGAGCAGTACATGGAAGGAATTAATGTTTGACACTTGCTTTGTAGACTACAGTGTGACCGCACACTCCAAGCTGGTGATCATCACCGCTGGCGCTCGCCAGCAAGAAGGGGAGAGTCGTCTTAACTTGGTCCAGCGCAACGTGAACATCTTTAAATTCATCATTCCCAACGTTGTCAAGTACAGCCCTGACTGTATGCTGCTTGTCGTATCCAATCCAGGTCAGGCTTGTTAGGATGGCTTAATACAGACTTCTCGGTTCCCTTGCGAATCCATGCTTCACAAGGGAAAGCTAATCTCTTGTTGGCTGGGCAGGGGGTTGGAGGTGTAACGCTCGCCTGTTAAGTTCTCAGTTTGGGTTAAAACTTAGGAAGCAGAGCATTTAGTCATTTTCCCTTCCCCCTACCTTGCAAAAAAACTCCTTCACCTTGAACTGGTGGGTGAGCCTTAATAGGCAAACTTGCCTGCAACTGTTTTGTAGAGCTCTTGCAGCAGGCCTAAGTAAGAGGTTGACATCTCATAGGCATGTATAGTCTTAAATAAATGAGTAATTTAAACCTCTCTGGCATTCACCTAAAGGTAATTTTGCTAATAGGCATCTAGATATAAAATGGGAAGGCATATCGCAGTTCTGTGCTCTATTCAGGGTAGTAAACAAAACAAAAAACCCCACCTCTGCAGCTAGAACCCTGACAAGAATCAGTTGGAATAAACTTTGACAAGGTATTGGTCTTTATCAATGAAAAATAAGTCCTTTTAGTAAACTGGCTTTTGTATTAATAGTTGATATTTTGACCTCAGACAGGGTATTGGTCTTCATCAATGAAAAAAGTAAGTCCTTTTAGCAAACTGGCTTTTGTATTAATAGTTGATATTTTGACCTACGTGGCCTGGAAGATCAGCGGCTTTCCTAAACACCGTGTTATTGGTAGTGGCTGCAATCTAGATTCTGCCCGTTTCCGCTACCTCATGGGAGAAAAACTGGGCATCCATTCTTTAAGCTGCCATGGATGGATAATTGGAGAGCATGGAGACTCTAGTGGTATGTATGAAACGCTACTTATTTTTAGCCTTACTCTGTTTTGATTTTTAAAAAACACACAACATAGTCGAGGGGCTCAAGACTATCTCTACCAGGTTCTCTGACAATACCACTATTCAATCTTTGGCAAAGAAGTGTTCTGTAGATCTTAAGGCAATGCATGTTTTCTTAATTTGCCTGCTGTTAACTTCTGTGGCATGTAGTAATAGTAGATGATCTATATTTGACTTGGCCTGTTCCACTTAGAAAAGGTCGCTACTGTAACCCGAGAAGGGTCAAAACCTGTAGACTAAATTCTCCACGGAACTCTCCAGCAAGGAGTCAAGAGGGTGAAGCTCCTCCTTGCAAGGGACTCAAGACCTGCACTGGAGTGGATTGTAATTCCAGTAATTGAGTCTTCACAGATGTTTGGTGCCTCTTTCAAAACCTATATTGGCATGCAGGTCTAGGCCAGGAGTAGCTGACTGTTCAACATGTCTTCAAGTGATTGTCTGGGAAGGGGAGATTAACATTCTTTTTCCTTCTCACCCCTTTTATGAAACGGGCTAAATAGTCCCCTAGTCAATCCATTCCTTGTCCAATCAAAAAATCCGAACTGACCTTCAACCTTAAGCTGACCAGCGTTGTAAAGAAATCGGGACTCAAGCTTTCAAACTGCTAGTCCATAATCTGGACAAGCTTTGCAAGATTGACTTTAATCCTAAAAAATATACAGACCTTAGTATAACATTTTAAAAAAGGAAATTCATATGTCTAAGCTACAAGGGCATCTGCACAGCAGCGGACACTCAACCAAGTGTTATGGTAACTGTTAGTTTACAGTTGGGTAGAATGAAATTTAGGATTTGTCTAGGGCAGGGGTCAGCAACCTATGGCTCATGAGCCAAATTGACTCAATAGGGAGCCAGATATGGCTCTTTCACTGCTTGAGCTCAGCTTCCCTCCCCAAAGCAGGGAGACTGCGTTGGCGCTCCAGCCTCATGGCCTCATCAAGATTAGAGTGCCAGTACGGTCTTTTTGCGGGGGGGAGGGGTCTGAGCCTCCCTGCCAAATCTGGCTTGCTGGGAAGAAGTGGCTGCACACTGCCACTTATTTCACTCATTCCCCCCCAGCCCGAGATACTCTCTCAGCCTGTTCCTGCACCCTGCTCCCATTCTGCTACTGCACCCCCATCCTATTCCCCTCACTGGAAGCCCTATCCCTCGCACAACTTCATTTTAGCCCCATTCCAGAGCCTAGGGGGACCCCAGTAGAGTTAAGTTAACCTGTGGCTTTGAACCTCAGTCCTCCCTGCCCCTCCCTCCACTGTGGGGCTGGAGTGCTAGGCAAGTGATGTGGCCCCCAACTGAAGCACCTCAGTAAGGCTTGGAGGTTTTTGGAGGGGTTTTTTTTGCTTCACTTATGTGGTCCCCAACTGATTTTTTTCTGAGGGTCAGTGTCCCCTGACCCAAAAGAAGTTCCCCACCCCTGCCATGAACTCAAAATTGACATGTTGGACACTTTATTTAAAATGCCTGCCCAACAAGGCCCCTGTCAGGCCACAGCAGTCTTTCCCCTGCCCCAATCCTGGGGCAGGCCTCACGGTCTGGCCCCCATCTGACAACAGGAAGGGCTGGGGGTGGCTCCCCCTCCTGCAGCACTGTGGCAATCCTGGCCTGGCCCTTCATCCAGCTGTTGCTGCCAGGATGCAGCAGCCCAGCCCTGGCCAGGTAAGGTAATCTGGCCCTCCCACATACTCGTGTTTCCTACCCCCAAGCCCTGCCTCCTGCACCTCCTACACACCGCAGCCACCTGCCTTGAGCCACTCATACTTCAACCCAGATTCCTGCACCCCCAGATCCACAAACTGTTCCCCAGCAGCAGCAGAAGTCCTGTTAGTCTGAGTACGTTTCATTATTATTAGACATGATTAATAGTATAAAGTTGTAAATTCAGTCATGTAAATGAGCATTCTTACAGCTCTATTGGCCATGTGTTCTGAATTTTGATGTAATTTGGCTCCTATTTGAAAAAATTGCCAAGCTCTGGTTTAGTGAATGAGTATCTGCTCTATTATAGTGAAGTAATTTGATTGTGTGTTTCTTAGTACCTGTCTGGAGCGGGGTCAATGTTGCTGGTGTCTCCCTGAAGGCTCTACACCCTGACCTAGGAACGGATGCAGACAAAGAGCATTGGAAAGAAGTCCACAAACAGGTGGTAGACAGGTAAAGAACAATTTTGCAGTTGAACAAGTTGCTTTATTCTTAAATGGCACAGAACTATAGTGCTCATCAAATGGAGCAGATGTGTTCTTTATAATAGTGTAAGTATCTGCTGCAGTATCAGCAGAACAGTAACCAGTGTGAAGATGCAGAAGTAGTACAATTTAAAATAGGCATTTCTTAGAATTTAACACTTATCGCAGTCTAGTGGAGAAAGTTTTTAGTGAGCTGAAATATTGTATGCCCAGGACCTCTTACCTAGAACATTACTCCTCTCTCAATATTTCAGTGCAGAGAACTCAGTATTCAAATCTGTTTTAATAGATACTTGGGTGCTTGTCTGAATTCAATGGATGGAATCTTCAGAAGTGTTTCACCCAATAAAAGGGCACAATTTCTACTGAAAATCAGAGGCATAGTGCTAGAAATGACTTCCATTGCCTTCAGATTTCAAACCCAAGTTTCAAACTGAAGCTTCACCATTTTGCTTTTAGAACATGTAAGAATGTCTTTACTTTTGCAGTGCCTATGAGGTTATCAAGTTGAAGGGATACACATCCTGGGCAATTGGTCTCTCTGTGGCAGATCTAGCTGAAACCGTTATGAAGAACCTGAGAAGGGTGCACCCAATTTCAACTATGGTTAAGGTAAGCAGCAGCCTTCTTGTGTTGAGATAAAAATTAATTTATACCAAATACTTATTCCCTATTATCTAAACTTGCACACCTAAATCTGGGTAGGTGCTGGCTATGTACTGTTTGTTTGTATCTTGTGACTAAGATTTAATTTTTGATAATTCTAGCATGACCAGGATGTACAGAGCCTTTCCTCTAAATCTGTGTAATTTTCAAACTAGCTTTACCAAATTCCTGGGAAACTTTGCTAGCAGTTTAGACCACTACCTTTTCCACTTCAAAACCTTGTACTGTAGACATAGCCCAATACTCAAATAAGGAAAACCAAGGTTGTAATGAAACCATGTAATCAAAGTAATAATCTTCTATTTCCTTTTTAGGGCATGTATGGAGTAAGCAGTGATGTCTTCCTAAGTGTTCCCTGTGTGTTGGGATATGCTGGCATCACAGATGTAGTGAAGATGACCCTTAAGAGTGAGGAAGAAGAAAAGCTAAGGAAGAGTGCAGATACACTTTGGGGAATCCAGAAGGAACTGCAGTTTTAACTTATGTCCTAAACATAAGTTAGACATTAGTGAATTTGTCTGTTGCACTGTTCGAGTAGGTCAAGTCCTCTAATCTAGGTACTGACTAGAAACTTGTAAAGCTAAAGTCTATGAACAATGTTTCCTGAAAGTAGAGTATGAAACTATTGAGACATCCTATTCACCAAAATCTGACTTCTTAGCCAGAGGTAGATCACAGCCTTGTCATTTACAGTAAGTGGTGTAAAATAGATCTAGCACTCCTTGTGAAACACTGCCTAACATCCTCTGCCTCTCAGTTTAATGTCACTTCAGAAGAGCAATTGGTTTTACAACTGTGTAATGTAGAGACCAAAGTATTTCTTGTATTACAGAAAGGATGGGGGTAAACCAACTCTGACCAACTTCTTCTGATAGCTTAAAAATCTCAACTTCTTGCAGGTCCAAATGTATCTTCCTTATTGCTTTGGAATCTATGTGCATACCCTTTCTGGAGAAATGTTGTGTACACTAATACTGGAATAGCTGTAACTCTGGTTCATAGAAATGTAAAAACAAGGACTTCTGTATACAACAAAGGCCACTGCAAGCATTCAACTGTAGTACCAGCCCTGACACCAAATAAATTGTGAACTGCTTCTTTTGTTTCCTTGCCTAATTATTTTAGGGATCAAACATGGCTTTTGTAAAGGGAAATCTATTAAATTCTGAAGTCAACAAGCTTTGAACTTTCAGACAGACCCCTCATCCAAAGCGCCTAAGCAAACTAAATCATGGGCTATGAGGGGAGGGCCTTTAGTGGTCAGTTTGCACAGTAGAGAGAAGTAAATAGCAAGCCCTCCTGCAAAGAGCTGTATTGGGCTTATTTGCTGTTCAACATCAGTGATCTGGAAGAAAGGGACAAACAATGTGGGTACAAAACAATTTAGTAAAAGTCCACAGCTCTACACAGCAATCTCACAAATGGGTGAGGGTGACAAAAGGGTAGATGAAATTCAGTATCAAATACTATAATATACACAGGAAAACATTCCAACTATACATACAAAATGGTAGGCTCTAGATAGATAATTCTCAAACTACCTGCTTACGTTTAGTAAGGAACACAGAAAATATAAAGCCCTTCAATAAATCTGCAAGGCACTCATACTTTGAATACTGCCTGCAGTTCTGATCACTATCTCAAGGCATAGGGAATGGCACTGGGTACAAAAACTCTATGGACTTTTAAGCTTAAACATACAGGTGATTTTGCATATCCCAAGTGCTGTAGAAGGGAAGAGGAAAACGTTTATCCCTCAACACATGCACTAATGATTAACAGATGAAACTAATGAGCAGCAGGTTTAAAGGAAGTAGTTATAGTCCATCAGTGAAATTCATTGCCATGACATCAAGGCAAAAAGCATACCTGGGCTCAAAAAGTTAATGGGATCTTGATTAGCTAAGATGGGGCAGGCATGTCATCTCATGGTGCAAGTGGACCTGAATCTCCACCAGCCTGAAACTGGGACTAGACAACAGGATAGGTCACACCAAGTTTCCTAGTTCAAAGCTCTGAAGCATAGCACTGCCTAATGTTAAAGGCAGGATACCAGGCTAGAATGACCTTGGTTTGACCTAGTATGGCCATTCTTATAAAGAACTTACCTCTGAAGTTAGGCTGACACAGAAAAGTACAGTACAGAAAGCTTTTCTGGAATATCAACCATAATATTTCTATAGCTCCATCACCACAAACCAACCATTTAATTACCCCATTAGATTTTTTTTACACTAATTAATTACTGCATAAAAATCCCAGCAGACAGCTGAGTCCACAGGGCCTCAGTACACAGCATGTCTTCTACATTTTGATATGTAAAAAGGTGTGAGAAGCTTTTGTCACGTGAGGTTTGAAATACAATTGAAGTCAATTTCTTGAAGTATATGCTCACCATTAAGCTAAAATAAACTAATGCAAACTACATTCCAAAGAAAAACAAAGAGATTTTTACTTACCTGGAAAATGGAGAGTAACTCAGCAATCGATGTTAATGGCATACATCCTTCTCTCTACACAGATGGTTAACAGGCAAATGAATCGGAATAAAAGTTTGCCATAATAGGAGTATCTGCTGCTAGTGCATACAAGAAAGCAGGTTAGCAGCTTCTCTACAACTTAATGCACTGATAGAATCACTGAAAACCTTAGAGTGTGTGTGCGCGCGTGCGTGTGCACAGGGTGGAAGAATCACCCTTTTGTAGGGAACACCTTCAAGTACTCCACGTTAATTGGGGCCCTAAATTGTAATAGTGAGCTGATTTGAGGAAGGAAGCTACACTTTGACTTTGAAAAAAACTGGATTATTGCACTACAGCCCTTGAAAGTAACGGATCACACATGCAGGATCCTTTGTCTTACTTCAGGTCCAAGAAGGAAGGATACACAGCTCATGATTAATATTCAAGATGGAATTTTTCTATGGAACGAAGCTAGGCATGTTTTTCAGAAGCAGTCAGAAGAAAATTACTGGAGATTTTGGAAGAAAAAAAAAAAGGCTATTTCTTTTACTTTTCTGACAGGAAAAAAACAACCAAAACTGCCATCTTGTATGAAAGAAAGCCTAAAGGAATAAGGGATGTAGGCCCAACTCCAGATTAAGTGACTCATGTCATCTGTATTGAAACTCCTCATGGAGATGTCTTCAGAGTCAGACTCCCCAACAAGAATGAAGAGATTTCCCTCCATCAGACACTTTTCGGAGATACAAGTGGATTTCTTTGGCCTCTCGCAACAAGAGGAAGGTCCCTCAGGCTTTATAGCATGAAAACAGGGCAGTTTGCTTAGGGAATTCTTGTTTTAAGCTCCGTTTGGGTGAAGTGCAGAGGTTGTATACCAGAAAGGGCATTACATTTTGGCTTCCATGAAGGATTTGAGATTGCTTCCTTAGATTAGGGCTGGTAGTATCAGGTTGCTGAGGAGGACAGTGGTAATTAGTCACTTGGGAAGAGAGCAAAATCCATGAATACGGATTATAGAGTGTAACTAGCATCCTAAACAATTCGTTAAGGAAATAGCTTTGTTTCAAGCTTCCATGAGGTGACAGAGTAAGATTTAAGCACCTCAGGATAATTTTTGAGGTTAACATTCCCTGTTCTGTCTAGTTGTTCTTACAAATTTCAAGACTACCAGTGGGTGATATTTGATTGTAATGCCTAGATGGAGTTGGGAAGAGGGGGAGGAACAGTTTTTGCTATGGTCATCTGCAAGGAATCACCTTTCCTGAGTGACAAGATCTAGCACAGAAGACAAGCCTTTATTTTGGGCACCCTGATTTCATTACTTTACTATAAACTTAAAAATGACATAAGAACTGCTATTCTTCAAGTAACTGTGTGTTTATTCTTCCTAGTTCTGGACACTGAAGAAAAGATGTTTCCAGATCTCAGCAATATATTATTATAATATGTTTGTTAATTAAAAAGTTGCACAAACTAGAAAGACATATTTGTTTTCAAAGAAAGCATATTCGGCACAAAAACGTAGGAAGAAAACAATTATGCACAAGTTTTATTTATCATTAATTCACCAACACAAAAAAGATTACAGGTAATAGAAAGTGCATTAATAAAAGCTAGTCTTTACCAAAAAGAAAAAGAAAATATATTATTGATTCAAACTATCTTACACTTGAATGATGTAATAATTTATTCTGGGCACCTAATGATTAAAAGAAACTGAGACTGTTTCATAAGGAGCCCTACTTCCCAGTTAAAGTCAGAGAGGTCAGTAGAGATCACTGAGTCCAGCAGTCTTTCTTGCCTTCTGCATTAGCGCCCTCAGCTGGAATTGCTTGCGAGACAGAAGACGTACATGCTGGGGAAAAAAGATGATGAAATTTAGTGTAGCTATCAACTTTATGGCCTTCAGAACAGATATTTTCTGCAATCCAAAATTGTAATACTTGGAATAATCTGAGACCCAAACGTGTATGTTTGGAAATGAATATTTAGACTTTCAGGGCCAAATACTGATTTGAGGAAATCTGAGTAAACAGACTAACTCAAGGTATGCCCCAAAACAAAATACTTTACACTTTTTGCAAACTGCAATACATAGTTCCACAGCACTTTCTTTGCTAAGAAATAGCAATCAAATTAAATTAAGTTTCATTCATGAGGGTTTACTTTTAATGAATTAAGGTAAGTAATCTGGTAAAAACTAAGATTTACGGAAAGCGTAACAAAATAATTTTATCACTGTAGATTACTACTGTGCATCCCATGAGAAGCTAGGATACTTGTAAAAAGCTGGGGTGAAGACCACACTGGTGAAATCAACAACCAGGCTGATTAAGAACCAGATGTTAAATCATTGTTTGGCCTCTTCAGACATAGGATGCTAAAGATGAAGCCCAGTTTTGAAGTCTCTGCCCATATTGGATTGTCAATAAATTTTTATCATTAGAAAAAAGGACCAACGGTATTTATTTCCTGACTGATTGCCTATATAATTTTTTAGTCCCTTAGATGTTGTACTTGAAAAATATAAAAGGAGTATTAACCAAGATGTGTACACAATAATTATCTATAAAAGTCAAATAGCTTTACTATATCCATTTAAATTCAAGCATTTTTAATACTTTGTTTCAAAGTCATTGTGGATTTATTCACCTGCAAAACAAAAGGTGGAGTATCTTCTTGCCCAATGCATGACATTTTTAAAATCTTGATTATTAAACAAAATTTAGCCTATCAACCTTTCTTTCAATATCATGACCTATAAGTTAAGTTAAGACAAGACTACAATCAGCAATTATAAACTCTTTGCTTTTCCTTCCTACCCCTCAAGATGGTCTTTATATGGGTTGGCAAAATGTCTGATTGCTCAGTTAACAGGTCAAAATCAAAAGTCACTGCACAGCTGCAATATACTTCCCATCTAATTAGAAGTATTTCTTACACACAGAGCCAAAAGATGTTTTAAATACTTGTGAATCATCATTCTAATTATTGTTTGCTACCTTTTTATGGGATGGAAAGTCGATCAGATGTAAGTTACAATTCCTGTGTCTAAATTGAGTGAAAGCTTCAAAGCATGCTAAATGCAGAATACAACAATTTAGAGTGCATTTACATCACTGGAAAGCAAAGTGATACCAAAAAATAGAAGCAACTTCAGAGAAATATTTCCTAAACCAGAGGTTCTCAAACTTCATTGCACTGTGATCCCCTTCTGACAACAAAAATTACTATATGACCCTAGGAGGAGTCCCACCTGCCCAATATCTGCTATCTTGGGTGAGGTGTGTGTGTGGTGGTGGGGGGGGGCGGGGGCAGGCTAAAAGCCAAAGGCTTCAGCCCTGGACAGGGGGCTATAACCTGAGCCCCATCACCCATGGCAAAAGCCCTCAGCTTTGGATCCAACTCCGCACAGTAAGTCTAACACCAGCCTGATGTTCTCATTAAAATGCACCTAGATGTGGGCCTTCCCACATATGCAACTGCCTCCTCATCGAGAGAACCCCCACATCCCTCCTTCCCACCCTCCCTACTCTAGTAACTCTCAGACATACATCATTGCCTTTGCTCTGTCAATGTCCCATGCCCTTACTGCCCACTTATCAGCTTCTCCTGCAAAAGCCTCCATGCTGTCT